ACTTGCCCCGCTCACCGACGATTTTTCGAAAGCAATCTGTTTACTTTTAATAACTTTGTATTGTTCCATATTACTATTACATTTATCTATCATACTATATTTAATTTATAAATTTAATTATAACTATTATTATTATTATTATTATTATTATTATTATTATTATTAACTTTTTCCGAAACGCAGAGTAAAAACGATTATTCTATGGTCTACACTCAAGAAATACATGAGGAATAAAATTTTTGTAAATGGCTTTACCCAATAACACTCGTTAAGGTTTTATAACTAATATGAATTATAATATAAATATATTTGACACATCGGTGAAGTTCTTTGGCAGTAACCCTTTTTGCGGCCAGAAACAATATAGAACGTAACGTTCTCATTCGTTTTCCAAATCTAAAGGTACTTCAACTCTTCCAACACACTAAGACTCGTACAGGGTGCGTCAATTATAGAATTCATCGTCTCGATAAAGCCAAAAGCTGAAAAGATCATTATAACGCACAATTCAAAGCCATTTTACTGTTAATAATAACACGTCCCCAAACCTAAATATAAGGTTGTTCGGAAAGTCATTTCGTTTTTTCCCGTCAGAGGACGTTACGTTTTTTCGAAACCAATTTCACACTTAAGCCGCATAACCATTATATGTCTTGAGAGTTGATATTGCAAGGCTTGTGTGTGAAAAAGTTCTATTAATTCTACGCAGTAGTTTTTGGTTGGTGCCCTTTTAAATATGGAGAGCAATAAGCAGCATTTTCGTCATATTTTACTTTTTTACTTCAGAAAAGGAAAAATGCTGTCCAAGCGAGAAAAAAATTGACGGATGTGTATGGAGAAGGCGTGTTAGCAGTACGCCAGTGCCAGAACTGGTTTGCAAAATTTCGATCCGGCAATTTTGATGTCGAAGATGCACCACGGTCTGGAAGGCCGGTCGAAGCTGACGAAGATGCGATAAAGGCATTAGTTGATGCAAATCGGCGAATAACCACACGAGAGATCGGTGAGAGATTAAATTTGTCGAATTCGACTGTTTATGGCCATTTGAAAGGCATGGGCTTAACTTCGAAGCTCGATGTGTGGGTGCCCCTTATCCTTACGGAGCGAAATTTGTGTCGTCGCGTTGACGTGTGTGATTCGCTCCTCAAACGTCAAGAAAATTATCCATTTTTGAAGCGGATTATTACTGGGGACGAAAAATGGGTTGTATACAACAATGTTAAACGCAAGAGGTCATGGAGCCGAAAAGATGAACCGGCTCAAAGCGTGTCAAAAGCCAATATTCACCAAAAAAAGGTGATGCTCTCCGTTTGGTGGGATGTCAAAGGAATCGTTTTTTTTGAGCTTTTGCCGGACAATACAACGATTAATTCAGAAGTCTATTGTCATCAACTGGACAAATTGAATGATTCACTTAAAGAGAAGAGGCCCGAATTAATCAACAGGAAGGCTGTAGTATTCCACCAGGATAATGCGAGACCTCACACAAGTTTGGTCACTCGCCAAAAACTTTTACAGCTTGAATGGGACGTACTGCAACATCCACCATATTCTCCAGATCTGGCGCCTTCCGACTACTATTTGTTCCGGTCCCTGCAAAATTTTTTGTATGGCAAAATCTTTACCTCAAATGAAGAGGTCAAAAACCACCTGAACCAGTTTTTTGGCAGCAAGGACCAAAACTTTTATGAGAGGGGAATTATGTTACTGCCAGAAAGATGGCAAAAGGTGTTGGACCAGAATGGGCAATATATAATTTAATAAAATATTTATTCATTATACGAAAACTGTCTTTCATGTTCCCCAAAAAAAACGAAATGACTTTCCGAACAACCCAATAGCTTTTGCGATATTTTCATTTTACAGGATGGTTTCGATTTTCTTAAACGGCACTCGCGCATATTATTATGTTTTCCGAAAGATTTTTCGATGATTTTCAATTTGTTTCAACTTTTTATAACGCCCGTGACAAAATGATAGATTTTTACCTCATAACCGAATAAATAACTTCGAACAATTTTCGTAAAGCCGAATAAATTAACATGATTAATACATTTTGTTGTAATTCAACCGACATTTAAAAATGAGGTGCTTTTTTGTGGTAACTTTGGAAACCTGTACCGGGCGTTCAATTTCTCACGACAACATTTTAATTGGCTGGAACTTTTTTGTTTTTAGAAATATCAAGGCAAACAAAAAACAAAATGCAGGGTTACCAACCAGGTTCTTTTTCAAGTGGCGTAAAAAACAAAACACAATCAATTTTCTGACATGTAAACCTACATTATATTTTTTTAAACGGAACACCCTGTATATTATATATGCGTTTAATAGAATATCTTATTCCAGTTACAATGATGTAACACACGTCAAAAACGAGTGTACTAAAATATAAAGCGTATTACATCATTGTAATCGGAATAAGATATTCTATATATAATATACAGGGTGTTTTATACGTCACTTGGAAAAAAACTCGTCCACTAACCCTAGATATTGTTTTTTTGTTTACCTTGATATCTTTAAAAACAAAAAATATTACAGCCAAGTGAATACTGTACATATGGGACCCTTACTGGAAGACGGGGGGCTCTGGGTCTTCAACTGTCCCTGCTCGAGCTTAACCAACGCGTCCACACTCGCACCCAACATCATCCCGACATCGAACGGCAACATAAAAAAAAAACACGGCGAAAAATCGAAAAAAAAAACGGAAAAAAAAATTTCGAAAAATTGCTCCGCAACTCCCGAGAGCGTCGCGAACAGTGAAGTTCGCCCGCGTTATCGCCCGGGATTTATTAGGGAAAAGGAAACAACCACCGAAGGGCAACCCCCGAATCCCTATTGGCGCCCCACCCTTGCGTCGCGGCCCTACGGCCCTTCCCACGACTGCGGGGAGGCACGGCAGCGTGCGAGGCGAGGCGAGACGAATTTACAAATCGGAATCCGTTCCTAGAGCGGTCCCCCACTGGAATACGAACTTGATCTTTGTTTCTAATTAAATTTTTCGATTTTCTAAAGGTTTTTTACGTAATTCATAGCGTTCCAAACGAAATTCGATTAAAAAGTTTATGAAATTATCGCATATTTAGATTCCGCGAAAAATTCTAGTTATGTTTCACGTAGAACATTCTATACCTACATTTTCCCATAAGGAAGCCTTAATCATTTGCGATATCTCGGCTGCAGCTATTGTTTTAAATGTCATCGACCAAAATTTTGTTGGTTATGGCTTATTCTTCCTCTTTTGGTAAATTTAACTGAAAAATTTGATCAAAATTCAATATGATTTTGCTCCATTGGTGCTTTTTGATAAATTGTTATTATTATTACGATTATTATTATTATTATTGTTGTTGTTAAAACAAAAGTGTTATCTGCGTTTGAATTGAAAAGGAACCCCTTCAAATTATAATTAAATAAGCGTCACAAAATTTTATTTAAAAAGTTCAAATGCCATTTTTCCTGGCAACGCTATTCTTGAACTGGCAAAGTCTTATTTTTTAATTTTTTAGTTTCAGGCGCATGCAATATTAATGTTTTATTATAAAATTTAATATTTTCCACGAAATTTAATTAATGACATGAGTCTTAAATGAAACGAACAGATTTTTTTCAATCATACAATTGCTTTACTTAGCATGGGATATTAGAATTAAAAAAATAAAACAATGTTTATTTGTGACCTTTTATGCCCTCTTGGCCGCACTATTTTGTAATGCTTAATTTTATACACTCCATATTCCGTATAATGTTCCTGATCACAGATTAACACATTGCAAATTTAAACCGAAACACAATTAATGTTGTTCCAAAAGTTAATAAAAATTGCGAAACGAAATTTGCTAAAAAAGTTTATGAATTATTTTTAAATATTATTGCATTTTCAGATTCCGCGTAAAATTCTAAATATATTTCGCGTATAATTAATGTTCTATACCTAAATTTTCCCATAAGAAAGCATTATTTATGGTATTTTGGTATCGTATGGTATGGTTTTGTTGAATATGGCTTATTCTGCCTCTTTTCGTAATTTTAACTCAAAAATTTGATCAAAATTCAATACGATTTTGCTTCATTGGTGCATTTTCATAAATTGTTATTATTATTATTATTATTAAAAAAAATTGTCTGTATTTGGATTGGAAAGGAACTCATACAAATTATAATAAAATAAGCGTCGCAAAATTTTATTTTGAATATTCAAATAACAATTTAAACATGGAGACTTAAAACAAAAAGAGGGCATCGTTATAAATGGTAAAGAAATGCCATTTTTTCTGTCAACGCTATTCTTGGACTGGCAAAGTCTTATTTTCTAGTTTTCTTATAAAATATAATAAAAATAAATAAATAGATTTTCACGAAATTTTATCAAATTAAATTTTTTTAAGGTTATAACGTTATTTTCAATTAGTAAAACGTAGGAAACACAGGAAAAAAATTGGTATGTCTACTTTTACATATCAAATCACGTTATTAGTTCTTCAATAATGGTTTTGCGACTGCACTTAAATCTTTTTAAGATTTTGTTCGGCTTAACCATAAACTTCTATGCGCCAAATTCAGTTACCACGGCTTCGATGATGTTACCCTTGACAATGTAAGTTCTGAATTTCTTACTGTTTCACCAGGCGTACCGCAAGGTTCCGTCCTTGGGCCTATATTATTCTTAATTTATATTTCTTGAAGCTGATAACTTATCAATGTTATTCTTTTGACTTTTACTTTTAATAACTATCTATTGTTCCATATTACTATTACATTTATCTATTATTGTATATTTAATATATCAATGTATTAAGTGGAGTAGCTTTGTTGTTATACACTTGTATATAACAATATACAACAATAAAGGCAATTAATCATTTTTTTGGCACAAAACTTCCATTTTAATGTATATGCATCGTTTATTAATTTCTTCTATAAAAATTAACCTGATAACGCTGATTATTTTGAAAATTTCGACTGACGCAGGGCGTCTCCCCCGGCGAACTCACCTTCTTGCGGGACGATGTCGCGACGCCTATAAAAGAAGCTCAAACGGTTCGGTTTGCCACAGTCAACCATTTCGATTACCGGAAAAACATGCCGAATTTTGAATAGTGGACGTCCCGCGAGACCCTCGCGCAGAAACTGCCGATCCGAGCGTTGTTTTTTTTTTTTCGAAAAAAACGCCCGAAAAACGACACACTTTTTTCTCTGGCGAACCCAAGCAAGCTCATGCGTGCAGAGAACGGGAGGTAAAATCATTGGCACCGAAAAAAGGCCAACCGAAAGGACTACAAATAAATAAAATAATAAATATTAAATACAATAATAACGATATAATAATAATACGTAGGGAAGGGCGGGGCAAGGCGGCGCACTTGAGCTTTTCATTAGTTTTTGTGGTTTTTAACCGTCAAGTCGATTTATTTCATTTATTGATTTTATAAGTGGTGCCCCACTCTGGCCATATTTATAATGTTATATGTGTTATACATGGTGGTAAAGTTTTCAAAAACAAAATATTTTTTTTCTGAAAAAGGTTGTTATTATTCCATTTACTGACAATTTTGTTAAAAATTATTAATAGTAGGTAGATTTCTTTTTAATAATAATCGTTACCTCACTGTTAAGATGTTATGTTATTTTCTTAAAAGTAAAAAGACTTCTAACCAAAACTAAAAACCAGATATTTCGTTTCTCGCAAAAAAAGTGCTGACTAACCAAAACATTATTTGTCCATAGGCAGTCAGCGACACGTCACTGATTAACCTAAATAAATGTGACATTTGCATTCATTGATGAGCAAAAAATTGTAGCTCTCAATGTGGCCTATGTCACTGTTTAAACCAATTGGGCGTATTTTTCACAAATTTTGAGTTACGATTAATAATTTAATACCGAAAAGAACGATTTTCAAGGTCTTTTAGATTTTTGTCTATAATTGAAAAACCCTGTCAATGGCAAAAATACTGGATCTCCCGCATTTCCTCGTTCACAAATTTTCCGATTGGATTTTCGAGAAAATATCTGTTCTCTGAAAGTCAAAATCGAAAGTCAAAAATCTTTTTTTTTTATATTTTGAGCAAGATTTGCGTAAGTCCTTTTTCAACAGATGAAATGCGGGTGTGGACTTCTACCCTTCTGTCAAATCTGAAGTCGATAGCTGCAAATTTAAGACACCTGTTAATTGTTGAATATTGCACTTAATATCTGGAACACCCTGTACAACAGGTAAAAACCTAAAATACAAAAGTTTTACCTGTTTGTGCGGGCTATATCGTTAGTTATAGACAATTTTCAATAATAGGGGGATCCATTTTTCAGTTTTTTAATAATAAATAGCCTTTATTAATATAATTCCAAACAAAGTAAACAGATAGCTCAAAAGCGGGGCAGTCTAGCTTTAAATAGCTACTCTACTGAACCGCTAAAGAACTATTTATGTAATCAATAAATTGCGCATTATTTATTGAAATAAAAAATTAATGAACAACAAATAAAATATGAAAAATACCTGCAAAATCGGAAGAACAACAAAACTCTGCCACACACTACAGAAAATGCAATTGAAGATAAAAAAGTTGATAACTCAATATAACATAATTAGTAACACATTATTAGGAAAACTGTATTGGTAACAAATGATCTTTGTACCTTTTTTTAAATGAATATAAATTTAAGTTAATGAATTCCTGTGACAAAGAATTATAAACACGAATTGCGTTGAATGTGAAGGATCTACGAAACAACGCACTCTGATGATGCGGCACCGTTGTCTGTTCCTGTATCTTACATTCACAGAATGGATAATACTCCTAGGAGTAAGCCGCTCTCTTGGCAAAGTGGGTGAATCGAGGTTACGGATAATTTTCATAACGAGTATGTTGAAATGAAGAGCTCTTCTTTGTTCCATTTTAAGCCAATTAAGCCAATTTTCATATTTTCGAAGACCCATAACAAAACGAACGCAAGCATTCTGCAACCTTTGAAACTTACACTCGTCATCAATAAAAAAACCATACACTACATCACAGTAGTTATAATGAGAGGGAACAAGGGATTCACCTAATTGTTTCCTTAGTCTAAAATTTAAAATATGCCTGTTACTGTATAAGATTTTTAGTGAGAAATATGCCTACCATTTAAGTCCATATAATTTCCCAAGTCTAATTACTCATGCAATGAAGATAATGACAACGTTCGGCTCATCTCATATATGGGAACAAATCTTTTCAACAATGAAGCTTAGGAAAACTTCTTTAAGAAACAGAATTACAGATGAGCGACTATGATGAAATGTTGATAAAACAGTCTCAATTTCATTTTTCTCGTGCAACGTCGACCAGTAATGAGAACCAGTAATAAGAACTACATTAAATTCATTTTATATTTTATCCTTATAATTTTCTTACCTTTTGCTTTTTTCCTATTAAGATAATATCTGTATGTAATAATATATTTATTATTGTTTATAATAAAACGCGTAAATTTTTTAACGATTAAGCATTATTCTTGGTCTCGTTACAATCGTCTACTTACAAATGGCCCGTCTTAAAAAAAGTTTCCCCACCACTGGTCTAAACTTTACGGTGCTGTAAAAAATAAAATACGTCTTAATACTCACACTTTGATTTTCGCCGAATTTATGTTTAAAAAATAAAAACAGACGTCACTAACCTTTTAGATCGATTAAATAATCTATTTTCCGTCGTCAAAACAAGGTCAAGGAGGCGTCGCGACTCATCGAAGTATCGCTGACAAGGCGACGCGGCATTGTCTAGCCACTCGAATGGAAGAAACAAGGAAAAACCCTACCCTCGGACAAAACGCAGGTATTGGCGTTTGTATTAAAAAAAAACAATTTTTTGGAAAAAAAAATATTTTTAGAGGTCTCGCCAAACTGCGAAAGCTAAAAATGGCCGCAATTTTGAAAAACCGACTTTTGCGGCTTTGCAAACGACGTGAAAAATTTATTAGAATGTTGCACTCTCGGTCGAACAACATTAATTAAGGTTTCATTGTCATTTTTCGTTATATAAGTAGCAGGTAATTTGTAAATATCACATTTGATGAAGACGCGGTGTTTTTTAACTGTTTCGTTAAATTTGTGTGTATTGTGTGTGTGACTGCCGTATACAAATCATTTTTTGTTGGACTTTTATCTTTTATCAAGGGGCACTATGACAAAACCAAACGCTTTTAAAGTATAAACTTCCATATGACGCTACCTCTTCAATTTTAAGATTTGTGATTGTCTCTTTTTGACTGTACCCCTTTCTGAAGAAGGTCATAGAAGACCGAAACGTCATTATATGGACAAAAAATTTTAATCGCTTTTAATACAAAGACCTATAACCCAAGAACCAAAAGCTAAACATAAACATAGAGAAGGTCTAAGAAAAAAAAAAAAAAAATATATATATATATATATATATATATATATATATATATATATATATATATATATATATATATATATATATATATATATATATATATATATATATATATATATATATATATATATATATATAATTTAGTGTAAATCTGAACTTTTAGTTCTTATTTATTTTGTTAAATGGATTCTCAAGTAAAAGTTCAAAAGCTCAAAAGTTCAATTTTCAAATCTTTAGCTTTTTTTTTAAATTTTACAACGGTTTTTTCTATGAGTCATCGTCTTCTTTTTTTTGTATTTTCGCTATGTGTTTCGGATTGCAAATCGTATTTTCCGGGCGGATTTATTAATAGCACAAAAGGTTTCTAGAATTTCGAGATAAACGCAATCTCTGACGTAATTCGGCGGTTTGAGAGCTACTCCTTCGTATTTACAGATATGCCGAAATATTATTTGCCTCGAAAAAATAAAATTGTGCCTGTACTGCAGCGCAAACGTCAAGTATATAAGCGTCGATAAGAGTAATCGACGCGTTGAGCACTATGCGTCAGAAAAATATCAAATATTTTCGAAAAATCGTTCATTTTTATTATTTTTTCTTTTTTACCTATTTACTATTGTTATTTTGTAGTTTTGTAACTAAAAAACAACTGAACATACAAAATAGGATAATATCGATAATCCGCGAAAACGGTTTCTTAATATTTTTTTAAAAAATTACGAAAAAATTAAATACTTTCATTTTTCACCCGAAACTCGCATTCAACTACTATAGTCTCACCACAATCGCTAAAATTAATTTTGAAAATAACTATAATAATAATACGCGTGAGTTTATTTCCAAATATCAAATGCGATTTTGATGGGTTTAGCTTTAAGTTGTGGACACGAGAAAGTTCACTAATCCTGTAAAGATCTCGATTTACAAATACCTCTGCATCCATGCTACCATTAAAATCAAAACAGCAATACAATTGAGTATCGTCGGCGTACGCCTGAATTTTGCAAATATTAAAGATTTTAAAATGTCCTGGTGTTAATAAAAAAATATAACGGCCCTAGAATGGAACCACTCCAGAGAAAACTTCAATTACTTTCGAATATCTGCTATCACAGTATATTTTCTGATATCGATTTGAAAGCTACTATTTGAAAAACCATAGAAATTCAGCTTGGCAATCAATAGGTCATGGTTCATCGTATCGAATGCCTTTGAAAAATCCAAAAGTATTACGGCACTCATTAGTTTTTTTTTGTCAGTGGCTCGGACAATATCATCAATGACACTTATAAGAGCATTCGCAGTAATTGACTTTCGTTTAAAACCGCACTGACTTTCTGGTACTATTCTATTATCCATTACACAGGTATACATTTGATTATAAAGAACTTTTTCGTATATTTTTGATAGTACTGGTAATATACTTATTATTTTTACGTCATTGAAACTTGTCGAGGCATTATTTTTAGCTAATGGTTTTCCAAGTGACATTTTCCAGCTTTTTAGAAAATGGTTTTACGGAATAATTAGTAATGAGAGTGAGTATTTTAAAGCAAAATTCGGGATGGTATTTTTAAAAGTTAAGGTTACGTGTATTGTATTATTATTGCGTTAGACGTATCATATGTCAATGTTTTATTGCGTAGACATAGGTAGTCCTGCGGTAGTTTCCCACGTTGCTCTCCGGCCAAATGGCGGCGCATTCCGTGACATCCCCGCAGGATCTGGCCGGCAGGACCGCTGACGTCATTCCCACGCGGCATATGTCGCGACCCCATCGTGAGAGCTGATCGCGTCATTTGGTCAGTGATGACATCGATCACCCACGATTACGT